AGGCTATTGCCGGACCAAGGAGCTGCTGGGCCCTCCCTCGTTTTCATTAAGCCGAAAACCCCGTCAGAATGGGTGTGTTAGTATGGAGGGGTTTTGTCCCAAGTAATAAATGTAAAATGTTGCTGATGAAACCCAGCACAAAGACGGAGCGAAAGAGAGCAGAAAAATTTGTAGATGCTGGCTTAGCTCATCAGCAGCCACAGCATCAGGGGAAGCAGCACTAGCAGCAGGAGCGGCAGCCCCACCAGCAGCAGCATCAAAATGGAAAATAATGAAGGGTAAGCTGGCGCAGGAATCAGGAGGGTCTTTTTGGTGGTTAGGGGAGATCGGAGCAGGGCTCTGCAACAGCATGACGTGGGTTCCATTCGTATGCTGCCTGGCGGCGACAGGCGGGAAAGGGAGCTGGCTCTAGGGGAATGGGGTGGTGACTACTGTTCCAGGATGATATGTTAGTGTGGGTGTGTGTGTGTGCTTGTGCTTGTGCCGGCACCCCTTTAAGATGTCTCGGGTCTCGAGTCCCCCGCACTAAAAACCATCACAAACTAACTAAACACGAGTGGAAGGGGTGGAAGCAGAGAGTATGTGGATGTGTGTGGTGGCTTTTAGGCAAACGTCTTTCACAAGTGAAAGGCCCGAGGGGTGGATCTCCGGAAGGGAAGGGGGTGGCATAAAAGGAGCTTGGCATCAGTGGTAAAAGCCAAAAACGTAACCTAAAACTGCAAGAAAATTAACCAAAAATACTAAGCCAAAGTCGAAGACGCAAACACACACACATGAGAAATCAAGGGTGGGTTATTGGGGGGTGGGGTTTTGTGCCTACGAAAAGTGTAGCATACAATTTGGGGCAGAAATAAGGGAAAAGTCGAATGGTGCTGGGGCTGGGGAGGCATGCATGCCAAGGAAAAGTCTTTGGCTTGGCAACATTGAGAGGCAGCTAGGAATGAAGGTGAGGTCGAGGCGCTTGTGTAGAAACTTTTGGCATTGTTTTTGTGCCATTGTGAGTGTGTGTGAGTGTGCGGATTGAAGGCGGCGTCGCTACGGGTAAGAATGTGTGTGTTTATGTGTGGGATGTGGCACTCATTTCTCTTTCTCTTTCCCAGGTCCTCTATCTCTATCTGCAGCTGGGGATGAGCCAAGTCTGGCATCAGAATCAGCAACCCCACCCGGAGTCCCTCCTTCTTCCATCTTGTGAAGCAACTTTGATTGTGGCTGAAGCTGAAATACATCGTTGCCTTCTTCATTTCCTTCTCCTTTCTCTCAACTGCTCCTCTTTTTTGGCCAAGATGGAGTTGAGTTGGCAGATTGCTTGTGCGACTCGTTCTAGGTCTGTGCCTGTGTGTGGGTGTAAAGGTTGTTGGGTTTGTCTGTTTTGCTTTAGGTGGGTGGCAAATTCGGAATTTTTTTCCTCTTTGGGCTTACTCTGGCAAGGAGCGGGGTTTCAAGGTGGCCCAAAGCTGATGGTTCATACTTTTGTGGGTGTGGAGTAGCCACTGAGAGAAATGTGGATATTGGGTGGTTCAATATCAATACATATTGCTTATCAATAGCTTTTGAGTATTTTTCCGTTAGCCATAACACAAGGTACAGTTTCATTCTAGACAGCAACGTGGATATCAATTTTATTTTGGTTTTAGAGAAAATGAGATACACGTTTTTAAAATTATGGTAGAAGTCTCTCTTCATTTTAATGGTATTTACTTAATTTTTGTATTCATTTACAAAATGAAGTTTGGTGTTGATTCTTAAGCCGTTAAATTCTCCATGTCTTAGTTAAGAATCGGTTTAATAGTTCAACTAGTTTTCCCTCTCAGTGTTATATCCCTGGAACCAACTTTGGCCCGTCGAGCTTGTCGTTGCCCTTAGCCAAAGTCGTTGTCGCAATCGAAACCCCTCTCCATACCCAGTGTCCCTTGCCTTGTCGTCTTTGGTGTTCTTGTCATCTATTTCTATTTTGGAGCAATGGCTGAGCAGATGAGGGTCTTGGGCTGTCTAACTTGTCTGTTTGTATGATGGCATATCACACATCCCAGCCCCCGGACCCCCTTAGGTCCAATCCCATCCATTCTCCATTCATGTGTGTGCTACCCTGTAGAAGACGAGTGAGTGTGTGTTCAAAAAACCGTAAGCAATTTTCCGTAACATCTAACCGAGGTGGAGACCCAGAGCCAGAGCCAGTCAAGACAGTCGAAAGACGTCTTAAAAGATGCTGCTCCATCTACCGCCCCTGCCACGTTTTGTTCCCTTTTTGCAGGTCCCTCGCTAGTGCCAGTGCCATAGCCATCGTCATCTCCATCTCCGGCTTCATCTCCTTTCCCCAGACTTTTGTTGATGACATTGACTGGTTTTCCTAGAGAATCTCCCTCGAATCTCGCACCCAACCTTGGCGTCTACTTCGATTCGCTTGGCACGTTGTCTGCCTGCGACACTAATGCTGAGATGTGTAACGGTGGCACAGCACAGCCAGCACTCGGATCAGGATCAGGACCGTGGAATCAGGACCAGAACGCAGTCTCAAACTCATACCCTATCGATACAAAAAGTTCGATGATGGGCTGATGACTGACTACCATTTTGCCTGTACCAAATCATGTTTGATTACAGCTGAGCAGCATAACAAGTTGTTTCTTCGGGCATGGGTGATGCTGTTGGAATCTAGAAACTTTCCACAAAGTCTTTAACTTTTCCCCCTGGAAAATTTTGAGACTCAAATTAAACACAAAGACGCCCTGTTCCTTTGGACACACACGCTGTCCTGCGGCGGCTTATGTGCGCTTAGGCACAAATCTTGACCCACCCACCCACAAAGGGTTGATGGGCTCGCATTTGGAGTGGGTCCGAATGGAGAAGGGGTTTCCTTTGACAAACACAAGCACATACACGCTGATTCAACTATTTATATACAAATGTCGCTGGCTATATACAAAAGTCAATGGTTTTGTTGCTTTCACCGCCGGCTTTGGGGCCACTGTGGGTTATAGGTGTGGGATGATGATGTGGAACCCATCATAGGGTAGGGGACTAGATCGCCCAATAAACAAGCAAGAAATGCAGGAATTAGTTCGGATTAATCGAAGTCTGGGTGCCCTTTTCCAAGTGATTGTGTACAGTAATTAGTACTAACTTTTTAATGATAATGAAGCTGACAGAAACAATAATATTTATTTCATAAAAGATCTTCAAGAATTCTTAACAATTTTTAAACTTTAAATAACATATTTTAAAAACTGTTTTATAGATTTTTTACGCCACACATGTAATGATAAAAATAATCATATTGATACAGTCTTTCCCTTCCGAATCGAATATCCTTGACTTTCTTGAGCAACTTTTCGCAACCCTTATATCGAAGGCACGGTACCACGTCCGCAAGAATTGGGATTTGTTCACCCCTCGCACACGGCCAAAGAAAGTTTATCGGAGGGCTGGTCAGTCGCCGGACTCGCTTTGTGTGTCTGCTAATGTATATGTGAGTATGTGGATGTGTTTGTGTCTTGCGGGTGGTACGTTGGGATGCGGTGGTTACTATGGGAAAGGGGAGGCTACACCCAAGAAGCAACTTCTTTTGTGGCGCCCCAAGTAAGCCCGCAATCCTCGCACCCATTTTCCACTTCTGTTGCCTTCTGTGTGCCTTCGTCTGCGTCTTCGTCATTTGATGAATTACCGTGCAGAGCAAATGTGCGCCCTTTGGTGTGAGTCGGTGGGTTGAAATGGTGGGTGGGTTGAGAGATTAGGGTGACGGTGTGTGGGTGGCATTGAGGGTAAGGGTGTCTGAATGTGTGTGTGCTTCGTTTCATTTTCGGAGGCTAGCCCCCCAGCCGCAGTCCTCACACCCAAGCCAGACACCCCAAAGTCGTTACTTGTTTACCCCTCGTTACCCGCTCCCTCTGTCAGACACACACGCACACTTTATATCCCCCCTGTCGTCTTCGGTCCCGTCGCAATTCGCGCTTCTATGTACCAAGGAACATTCACGTATGTGGAGAGGAGACCTACACTGGGACACCGTCGTATATCATTAGAGTGCCTTCCCCCTCTGAGTGAATGGTGCACCCCAAACCATATAGAAGTCTTTTTTTATCCGAAAAGGCATTATGAGCAGGTTTTTCTTTTCGATTGCTGCCTACGCGGCGTATTAGCAATATTTTTGCAACTGTCTAGGTTTCTTCCGTTCCTTTTTTTCCGCTCTACCCACACCTCGCTCTATATATATATATATATATATTATTTTTTCGAAATGTTTATTTTGTGGCTGGGTAAATGTGTCTGGTCTGCGGTAAGTCCCGGAATGGGAATATGTTGGCTGGGGGCAAATTGATTTCGTATTGGACTACTTGCTGAAAGCGGGCAAAAGGAGAAAGGTTTTATGCTGGTCTCAGAACGTCTATATAGGATGGTTCTAAGAGATGGGGTTCTTGAAGACCTGTGACACGAATTGAATCGATGACTTGAATGAAGGATACTTCATACCGAAACCAAGTACATTAATGAATCACGAAGTTTACAATTATTCAATTATTTTAGTATTACCATTTGCTCAATTAGTTTACGACTATTATCAGGAAAATATTTGGCCGTGTATCGGAATTACAAGAGAATCGATTATCAAGATTTCTATAAAAGAGTTTAGCTTTAAGTCTATTTGGGTATAATATGATTTTAGGACTATACTATATAACTTTATTTTAAAAGGTATTCTGCAGAATATATCTAAGTTTTTAAGAATCAATTTTTCTAAATTTTAAACGATTTGAAGATTAATTTAGGCGAAGTTTTATGTATGATAGAATGTATTAAGAGGCTTAAACTATAATAAAAACAACCTCAAACAGGAAACATTTCGACTCAATTAGTCATATTTCCTGCACTTGAAACGAAAGAGTTCAATCGCTGCCTCATAATGGTAGTTAAACACCATAAAGGGCGGTTCATAGAAAGGACATTCGATGACTAGTCAAAACTCCCTATTATAGGCAGTGTCTTTCAAGAAAATCCAGGCTCACCTTGTGCAGCAACACCGAGGCTTTTCTTTTAGATGCCATTTTCGTGCTGGTGGTGGCGCCTCCGCCAGCACCTCCCCCACCGCCACCGGTTGCCGATGCGGTACGTGTCGATGTTTTTGGTGTTTTCCTCGGATTCTTCGGAATTTTGGCAGTTTTTTTGATGGCCTGCGTGGAGTGAGGAATTCGCCCGAAGACCAGACAATTGAACTGAAGCAGTCGCTGCCAAAATGTGACGATATCAAAGTTGCAGCTTAAGATGCAACTCGACTCGCTGGTATCTTTAGCACTGAACACACTTGTAACACTCGTGCGGATTGGGTTCGCTGCAACGTTTTTGGCACTTCTCAGAATTTTTGGCGGGTTTTTATTTTGCTCAGAAGCTCACACAGTTCACTGGGGTAAATGGATAGTTGCACAGTTTTGAGTTTTTCAATAACCCAGTTTTTGGCACACTTTCAAAAGCGATTCTTAGAGGGGGTTAATTTTCTGAATAGCACCACTTGTCAAAACTCCAAGTATATATATATTCGATTTGAGTGTTTGTATTATTCTTTTTAAAGGGGATTTTCGATTTGTTTTGGTTTGTTTTATTCAAAGCTTTGAGCGCTTCCTCCAGGGGCGAACCAAACACGACGAAAGCCAACTGCTGACTGACCAAAACAGAGATGGCCAAGTGGGTTTTAGAGCCGAGTCCGACTGCTTGGTCGTCCTGCGTCGACGTTGGCAGCGCGAGAGAGGCGAGAGTGAGAGGACCTTAGGTGGCAGCGCCTGCGCAGCAAGGACGAAAATTGAATGTGGGACGCCGCCAAAAGCGGAAAGTGCGTGTGCAGGCGAAACGCCGAAAAGTGTGCAACACTCTGTGAACTTCGTCCCCCTGCTACACCTACACCTCGGACCCCCTCTTCCACTCATCCTAACGATGGCGCCTGTGTATCATGCCCCTTCGCTTACCCCTTGAGAGAGCAGAGGGATATGAGTACAAAAACAGAGAAACGCCGATAACGCGATGCTCGACGTCAACGAACCACGCTGTCCGTGGTAGTAGATGGCGGGGGTTTCATGGGGGTATGGTGGGTCATCCAAACAGAGAGAGAGAGAGAAAGAGAGAGAGTGGGTGGTGGGTGAGGTCGCAGGGCGGTGGGCGGAATCAGCCGGATGGCGGCGCGGCAGATGAGTTGACAAACAGCTGAGTGCCGACGGTTTTTGTGAATGGGATGGGTGCTCAAAAGTGGGAGTGGGTGCGAGCGAAAACACGAGAGAGTGAGGCGGCAATTATTTTTGTTTTTCCCTTTTTTTCGCCAAGTGTAAGCGGTGTGGGTGCTGAAGGGGGGGTAGATGGCTGTTGCTTTTGTTGTCTTTCGCCGGCATGGCGCAAAAAAAAAGGCCGGCTGGATCGCCGCCAGGGGTGGGAAAGGGAATGGGCTAGGTGATGGCTGTGGGTTTATGGGTTGAGTTCGGGCCATGGGCGGTGGGTGTTTGGGGTGGTTGTCGGCGTTTCGGATATGAAAAACGCACAAAAAATATTGGGAGTGGGTCCGGGAAAAATAAATGAGAAAAATATATGAGCCGGCTACGTTGTTGCTGTTGGCATGGACAGCATGGACAGCATGAATTCCGAAATGCTCTCCCCTCTCTTTCTATCGCTTTGGTTCTTTTCCTGTCGCTTGGCTTGCCATCTCGCTCTTCTTCGCTGGGAGTTGGGGTGTTGCGAAAGTGGACAACGTTGTTGTCGCTTGTCTGCCAGAACGGTGTAGGAGGAACGGGTGGTCGGATGGGTGACTTGGTTGTACGTTTGGAGGAAGGAGAATGAAGGGTGGCCATGGGCAGCGTAAAGTTTTCAAAAAGAATAAAGGAGAAAAAAGCGGCGGGGGAACGGTTTTTCGTTTTCGTGGGTTGAGTGGAAAAAGGGTCAAGAGCGATGGCCACCTTGCGGGAGTTTGGGTAGGATGGATATGGGGTTTATTTGAACAGGAAGAGAGATCCGTCGCCAGTGCGATGCGACGTCATTGCCGTCGCTATTTCAATGCTTTTCGAGGGTTTCCATGGGGTGATCATAAAACTTGACTGATTCCTCGAGCGGTTGCCGATGGAGGCCAACACAAAGACAATGGGAAGGTCCTAGGGGAGGGCATCACTGTTGTGGTTTTCATTTAAGCTGAAGTGCTTGTTCGATTTATGAAAAACCCCAAATTAGAATTCGAGGACACTGAAAAGGTTCAAGAAGCCTGATGGTACAATTTAGCATTAACCTAAAGGGATTACCCTTTAGAATACAAAAATTTAGAATAATGCTTTTCACGTTGTTCAATTGGATTTCTTTGACAATTTGAAAGATTTAGCTTAATAGCAACTTAAAGCTGTAATAATTATAAAATAAATAAATGAGTCGAAGTAAATTAAGTGGTTTGAGAATATTTGGTGTTCACATTTTAATATTAATTACGTAAACAGTATAACTATTAACTTGCTTAACCCTCAAAGTGAATGCCGAAAAATCAGACAAGCCTCAAAACGCAAGAATTTCAATTGCATTCGCGACTGGTCAGAATATTTGACCACGACCTACACACCGCATCTTGGCCCTATGCTGCCATTAATAATGATTATTACGATTACTATGGGAACCACCACAAGCTTGTGAGTCTCTGCACATAACTTGCTCTGAGTAAGAGAGGATGTTATATAAATAAAACCGTTTTTTAAATTTTTAATATAGTAACGGAAGTAAAAATATTAATCTGATTGCGGCCACCTTTTTCGTGTTCTGTAGCCACTACTAATGATAATAATTATCAATCCAGTTAGTTAATTGTATGTCAAATAAGACTAAAACTTCTATACACACCCCCGCTTTCAGCTTATTAAACGTGTTTATCCTGCGTTCTAACGATTTCCGAAAGTCAAAGTGTTAACGTAAACTGACCATTTAGATTATGCATAATTAAAGCTCGCTCACTTGCCGGTGGAGAAGACACTGTCTGGGTAAATAGGTTAAATATGATGATTCTCCATTGTCTCATTGTTTGTTGGTATGCTCATTAACATTCACATCTATGTGTTTATGGCATCGATAGTCTAGTGGACTTGTGGCTTATAATTGAGTTAATGAAATACTTGGCTCCGCCACTTGTAGGGCTGTCAATCGATCAAAAATATTGAGCACGTCTTAAAAGTAAATGTGTTCAACCAACGAAATGTTAACAGAAGAACTTATTGATAACAGACTTCTTTTAATATTTTTGGAGATTAAATGTATTTATTAAAGTCGACAGAGTACAAAAAAATCTGGAATTGATTTGAAAGCATTTATGAATATGAGAAATTAGCAAAAAACACTTGTGAAAAAATGTTCGATATTCATCAAATAAATTAGATTTCTCTGGTCGATTCTTGTTATTTGTCTAGTAGTTCATACGAAAATATAAAATAAATTAAGTTTGCCTTGCATTATATGAAATGACAATAAATTTGATGGAAATTGGTCGAGCCATATGATAACTGAATGAGCGAAAATATAATTGATGTGTTGCCCCCTTCGCAACACACCTTCATTCGCACCTTTAATTGTTTTGTTGGGGAATGGGAAGGGTCGACAAATCAAAACGCATTTATGAAATAATAAACCTATGGCCAGAATCGCTTCGTAAATGCCGTAAATCTTTTAAAACGGCCAGCTACTGGCTACCGCATAAATTCAACCGTTTCTACCTCTGTTCGTGGATCGCCCCCTCAACCTGTCCGGGTTGAATAAAAAATAAGGAGGAAAAAATTGCCATAAAATTAGTTGCACAAAATCCAAAAACTATTTCATCAAAAATGCATAAAATAATAATAAAATCGCATGGCGAAAAAATAGAGAATCGAAAATAGAAAAAGTTGAATTAATGAAATATTTATATAGCGCACAAAATGAAAGCGCCAAATGGCAAAAAAATGCGAATCAGCTAAAAAAATATGTTATGTGTAAAATAAATAATATATAAAATATTTATATAAATTGCAAAAATGCGCAGCTCTGCATAAAAAATAAAACCAGCGTAAAATGTGAAATGCGCAGTCGCCTCTATTTTTCTATTGAGGGGGCATGATATGGGGGCCTACAGTTCCTATATGTGTTCATGGATATATGCATCCGCGGATATATAATGGAATATGTATAAAATGTCAAATGATTTGTTTGCTCGCATCTTTTTTACCCCAAGTCCCGGCTGCAGCTGACAAAAAACTAATGCAAAAAACAAATGGTTAGTAATATGCTAAAAAAATCTGAAACCGAGGGGGTTTTCGCTGTCAACTTTTAGGATGGGGGCCAGTGCAGCAGCCACTGCAGCCAATTCAATTAAAAATCTGCCACTTAAGCCCCATGGAAAAAAGGGATTGTTGTGGGATGGCACTGACCAGGAATGCAATGTTGCAGTTAGATGCAAGCTATTAGAAAATACTTGTGGAAAATCATTAAAATATAATATATTTCATCATATAGTACATAGAAAGAAAGCTTTGATCAAAAAATATAAATATAATAATTATGTAATATATTCCCTTATATCCCATCTATTTCCACAAAATGGAAATTTTATTTTAATGTCTTTAGTAGAATCTCCTGGGTTACGCTGTAAGCCGAATAGAGATCGCATCCCTTTTTACGGAACCCCCAAAACAGCAGCAAACTAGAATGCAACCCACAATCACACACACACGAAACCCTCTCTCACACAAGCTCAATTTTGTATATAACAAAAATTTTATTCGAATTTATTTTTAGTGTTTTTTTTTTGCATTTTCTCTAGAGAAGGAGTAGGGAAACTGGAAAGGTTTACTGGGTGGTGCAACACATTTTGTTTATATTTTTTTGGCCGCGACAACTACAACACTAAACTGCAACGTGAGTGTGTATGTGTGTGTATGTGGTCATAATAAATAATAAAATACAGGCACACACATGGACGCAAAAAATAGGGTAACCTGGCAGGAGGAAAGTGGGCTACTACTACGCAAAAAAAAGGGGAAAAAAAGCTCAGCTGAAAATGCTGTTTGAATTTTGCGCACATTTTACGCCTGATCGAAATATTTTGCGCCAGCCAGGCGGTGAGGCCATAGAAAAAAGTCAAACACAGCGGGTTTGGGCAGGAAGGAGCTCCTCCTGCCCAAAAATTCCACATCCTCGCCAATCCTTCTATGCACGCGCCTACAAAACTTTTATTGTGTCCGTCGATGTTTTTTCTGCTTTGACGCTTCGACCAAAAATTGGGCTTTGTCCAACGGGGCAAGCACAGGGGTTAAGGGTTTTTCGAAGGGGCCGATGGAGAGGACGCGAACCAAGAGGGGGTCTCTGTGGTGCATTGTGGTGCAGTGGTACCCGCTCAGACCACGGTTATGGTTATGATTGTGGCATGATGCCCCGCTTGCGTTCCATTGGCTGGTCTGTTGCTTGTTTTGCGTGGGCTCGTTCCATTTCCCGTTTTGTTGAGGTAGGCTAAGCAGTTGAGTGCGGTATATATTCACTTCCACCATCGACTGTATATGATTTCAAATGTTTTGTTAATCAGTTTAAAGTCCCACATGTGGGTGTGGTCTAAAATTATTGGTTGGAACGTACTATTTATTAAGGCCGTGCTATAAACGACTCTTCCAATAT